GGGGCGGGCTCCGGCTCCGGCGCCGCCGCTGCTCCCGCCGCCGCCGCCATCTTCCTCCCGCGCAGTCGCGCCAAACTCTCGCCCGGTGTCTCGCGAGATTTCCCGCTCCCTCCGTAAAAGGGCGATGCCAGCGGTGGGGACCACCGTGAACCCGCTGGGTCCCGCGGAGCAGTGACATCACCCCGTCACGGCCGCTCCAGCCATTCTGGGACCGCCCTCGCTGTGGCCCCCGTGACATCACAGGGCCATGCTATGACATCACAGGGCCATGCTATGACATCAACCACAGCAGTGCCGTGACATCACCCACGGCAGCGCTGTGACATCACAGGGCCTTGCCCCACCGTGAACCCGCTGGGTCCCGCGGAGCAGTGACATCACCCCGTCACGGCCGCTCCAGCCATTCTGGGACCGCCCTCGCTGTGGCCCCCGTGACATCACAGGGCCATGCTATGACATCACAGGGCCATGCTATGACATCAACCACAGCAGTGCCGTGACATCACCCACGGCAGCGCTGTGACATCACAGGGCCTTGCCATGACATCACAGGGCTGTGCCATGACATCACCTATGGCAGTGCCGTGACATCACAGAGCTGTCCCGTGACATCACCCACGGCAGTGCTGTGACATCACAGGGCTGTGGCGTGACATCACAGAGCTGTCCCGTGACATCACCCACGGCAGTGCTGTGACATCACAGGGCTGTGGCGTGACATCACAGAGCTGTCCCGTGACATCACCCACGGCAGTGCTGTGACATCACAGGGCTGTGGCGTGACATCACTCACGGCAGCGCAGTGACCTTCCCACCCTGCCACGGTGCGGGGAACCCACAGGGCCCCGCCACAGCATCCCACCATCGTGATGCTGGCGACATACTGCTGGGCTGTGACCGCCCCAGGCTACCACGTCTGGCGGCTGCCCCACAGCAGATCCCAGGCCTGGCTGCATTGCTGCGCCCTCGTGGCATGTGCTACCGCTGTGACAATGCACCGGTGGCTGATGGCCTCTCTCTGCCCCTCCACCTTGGAGCAGAATGGAGGGGGATGCCGGGCCCACTGCCAAAGGAGGCGACCAGGGTCATTTCAATTACCAGGGAGAATGAAGAAGTTAAAAGGTGAACCCCACGCCCAGTGAGAACACGCAGTCAGATGCAGACGATTCCAAGGGAGGCTCGAGGCTGAGTAACCCAGTGCAGCTCCCAATGAATGCATTCGGACTCTGCTCCCTCTGGCCGGGGTAATCAGCCCCTAGCGGAACTTGGCACCATCAGCCCCACTCATAGCAGGTGGATGAAATGCTGGTACTCATTATTTGTGGTGCCGTAATGGACAGGAGTCCCAGCCATGGACAAGAACCCAAATAGGCCGCCTGGCAGGAGGAGTCTTTGTGCCTATTTCACAGATATCGGTGCCCGGCTGCACCCCTGCAGGTATCAAGCCAAACGAAGCCATGTCCAGGAACACAGAAAAACACGACCTTGCCATAACTACCCAGCAACTGCGTGTACCTGGGCCGTTCAATTTCCCAGCAGCAGGCTAGAACTCGGGGCTGGTCTCCGCGGGCAGACTTGCTGCTTTCACTAGGCCGGTGTGGTCAGAGGTGGCATGATGCACACATGCCAGGAGAGAGGTGTTTCTCCTTTGCGGAAGCAGAGGAGGATTCACACAGCATGTAGTCAACCTGTGGAACTCCTTGCCAGAGGAGGCTGTGAAGGCTAGGACTATAATAGAGTTTAAAGAGAAGCCAGATAATTTCATGGAGGTTAGGTCCATAAAAGGCTATTAACCAGTACGGCCGTTCTTATGTTCTTATGTACTGCTGTATAACTGACTAGTCTAGCACAGACTGCGTCTCTGAGATGCCTACAGTAAAAGGCACGTGAGAATCACTGCTAGTAACCTAGGGACCATCACCACGGAGATGCTGCACACATGCTCCAGCCTGTGTGTACAGAGCTCCTCACATATCTAACCCTTTGGGAGAGGCAGGAATCTACGTACCTTGGTAGAGAAGCTATTCTGCCGAAAAGCCAGCGGGCATTGGCCGGGCAGCTGGTGAGTGGAGATTATTGCAACAATCTGCTTATTTTGTCTTCATTAAAATGCACGGTCATCACTACAGGTAGAACCTCTCTAGTCCGGCACCCTCGGAACTTGACCATGCCGATCCATGGGTTCCATGTTGTCTAGCAGCATTACCAACAACTCTGCTGCTTATTGGGTTCGTAGGGGTAAATTTCATTGAGGGGTAAATTGGAGCTAAATAACAGCACAGAACATGGAGAGCCAGGACTGGTGGCTATAAACAAACTTTAGGGACTGCGGGATACTTGGCCACACCTGACAAGTGAACATCCGGCTCACTGACAGAATGCTGGACCACGGATGTTGTCGGAGCAGACAGTGCCGGACTAGAGAGGTTCAGTCTGTATTACCTTGTCCTTCCTTAGTTTGCCTTGCCTCCACCCATTCCAGTTGAACCTGTCCTTAAACTAAAGCTTAAATACAATACAGAAGTTGTATGTCTGTCTGTCCATATCCCACAATGGGGCTTTGATCCTTGATTTGAGACCTCTAGGGACTATTTTAAACACAGGTAATATTTATTTCAGATAATCTATTAGAGGGAAGTGGTTCACAGATGCACTAGCCAGTCCCTTGCAATGTAATTACTACTTCTAAAGTAACTTTTATCTTCAAAGCACTGCACAGACGTTGGGGCTCTCATTGAAGTCAATGGCAAAATTCACAATGCTTTGAGGGGGACAAAGGCCTTGACCATCACAGTATCCCTGTGAAAAACTACCCTATGTTGCAGAAGGAAAAAGTGAGGCACAGGGAGGCAAAATGGCCTGTTCAGGGATGGATCACACAATGATTCATTGACCGACCGTGGAGAAGTCTGCTATCCTTGGCGCCTGGCCCTGTGCCCATATCACCTGCCTTCACAACCTCTCGGGAATCTCCAAAAGGAATATGAATCTTTTCTCAAAGTGTTACAGTATCTTCCAAAGGAGAAGGATGAGCTCTGTGACTGAATGAGCCTGAGACATCAAAGGAGAATGGGACACATCCAGCCTGACTCAAGTAGCATTGTTAACACTGGTCCTACAATTGACAGGGAACTGCTTTTGCTATTATATATACTCTGGCTTCCGTAGTTTCCACTCCAACTCATCTGATGAAGTGGGTTTTACCCAAGAGAGCTCACGATCTAAAATATTTGTTAGTCTCTAAGACGTGGTTTCCAAATAACCCCCCTTATTTCAAAATAATAAGCGGAGAATCCACACTAGCAAGCCTGTTATTTTGAAATCTGTTTCCTTGGGGAATAAGCTTATTTCTGAGAGCTATTATTTCAAATGTAGTTATTTTGAAATAATTTCCTAGTGTAGATGTAACCACCCGCAGGAATCACAAGGTGAAATACTATGGCCTGGATTACATCGGAGGCCTAACTGATCACGCACTTGGAAAGCCACATAAATAATAATCACTGATAACAGAGAGCAAAGCAAATGCCCATGGTGGCGAGGGAGGAAAGGAAAAGGGAGGTGTAGTAATGCCCTGGAGCTGACTTCTCATGGTGGAGTTCGCCTCCTGGCGAGCTGCTGTCCAGCCTGTTGGTGCTGAAAGTCTCTCTCAGGCTATGTCTAGATTGCAGGCTTCTTTTGGAAGAAGCTTT